CCTGCTCACTGCTGCTCACATCCCGTTCAACAGAGTGGTGCTCGGCAGGGTCACCCCCATGGTCCTCCCCTGTCTGCTCCTGGCATCCCCCGCGGAGATGGCACATGTGGAGCCCAGGAAAGCATGGGATCACCATCAACCAGAGCTTGATCTTGAAGCAGCCCTCAAATAACTTAATCTTCTTATTCTTTTTATACCACTTTGACAATGTACCAGAAAACCATTGTCACTTGTTGATCATAAAATGATGAAAAATTTGTACACCTAGGTTTTTAAAAATTATCCCAAATCCCAACTCCCCGAAGTATCAGTGTTATCATTTGGTATGTAAATTTCCAGACCCTTTTCCCATGGAAATACATGCATCTTTTATAGAAATGAGATAATCCTACATAGCCATTTCTCTAACCATCTTTTCAGCTTGATGTAATTTACACAAATCACCATGCCTATCAGTTTAAATGCTCTTCATGGCTGTGTGGTGTCCATGGTGTCATCTGCCATTGAACCTTCTACTGCGGGACATTTGGGCTGCTTCAGTAGCTCAGGTTTTCTACATTATAAATAATGCTGCAGTGAAATCCTCATCTGAACCGTCATTCTGCCTTGTTCAAATATTTGAGGGGTCATTTTTAACAAGAATGGCCAGCCCCAGTAGGTGTGCAGTACATGCCTGCACCCCCAAATCAAAGGGCTCATTCCTGTCTTCATCTTACTGGAGTTTCCACAGCGTGTGGTGTGGTTGACAACTGCTTCCACTTGGAAACAGTCGCTTGCCTGGACCCAGAGACACCAGTGCTTCTTGGTTTTTTTCTGTCCTCTCTGCCGGCTCCTCTGCCATGTTGGTGGTCCACAGGCTGAGTCTCCGCATCCTGTCTCCTCGCCCCATACTTTCTCCCAGGCCATCTCATCCACCTCCCACCTTGGCTCCAGTAACGATAGCCAGCATTTATTCAGGGCTTACTATGAGCTTTAAATTATTACACTTAATGTTCCAACTACCCTGGAAGATGGGAGCCTTTATGACTATATTTTCTTGTCTCTCAGGAGTATCTGTCCTTAATTTCCAAAATTTGGGGAACCGTTGATCCACATATTTTACCTGGTTTTTCTTCAGTTGTTTCAAATGAGAGGCTAAATGCAGCCCCTTGTCGCTACAGTGTGCTTGAGAATAGAAATCCATGACTGTCATCTTAAAAATGAGAAAGCCAAGTGAGGCTCCATGACATTACTTGTCCAAGGTCACAGACAGAGGCTCGCACACTTGAGAGCTAAGGGCTCAACAGTGAGGCTGCATTGCTGTGTAGCTTGGCTATTTGCTAATGACCCCCAAACCTATACATTGAGGCCAGGCCCCCTTCTCAGCTGTTTGGCGTTACCAGCTGCCCTCATTTTCAACGTCTCCAGGCATGTCAAACTCAACATGTCCAGCACTGATGACCTCCCCCAGATTTCATCTTCCCTGTCTCTTCAAATGGTTTCTCCAGCTGGCTAGTCTCTAAAGCCAGAAACTAGGCTCACTCTCCTCCCTCAATCCCTTCAGCCCATGAATCCACTAGTCCTATTGGTAGAGGAGGGAATAATGGCCTCCCAAATATGCCCATGTCCTGACTCCCAGATGTGACTATATTACCTCACTTGGCAAAAAGGGAGATTACCCTGGATTATCTGGGTGGACCCAATGTAATCACACAGGGAGGCAAGAGGTTCAGAGTGAAAGAGAAGGTGAGATGATGGAAGCAGAGGTCAGAGAAAGATTTGAAGATGATACGTTGCTGGCTTTGAAGATGGAGGAAGAGGCAATAAGACGAGGACTGCAGGCGTCCTATAGAAGCTGAAAGACGCAAGGCATGGGTTTCCCCTTAGAGCCTGCAGAAGGAGCACAGCCCTGCCGGTGCCTTGATCTGGGACTTCTAACTTTCAGAACTGTCAGATAGTATATCTGTGTTGCTTTAAGCCGCGACTAACTTTGTGGTCATTTCTTACAGCAGCCATAAGAAAGTTATACAGATGGCATGGTGGATAAGCACTTGGCCTCCGGCATCAAACTGCCCGAGTTCCAGCCCAGCCTTGGCCATGTGGTGGCTGTATGAATGTGAGCCATTCACCTAACTTCTCTGTGCCTCAGTTTCCTCATTTTATAAAATGGTAATTAAAAAAAACACCCACTTTACAGGCTTATTGTGAGAATTAAATGCATTATTCCAGATGGTACTGGTGAGTTCTGGATGAAGGGGAGCAGTTGTTATCATTACTGCTGTTATTGTTCTTACCCACATTCAGACCCCTCTCCCTCTCCGTCCCCATGCCCCTGACCCAGACCTGACCTTCCTCAGTCCCCCTGTAAGACGTGGGTCTGATCCTATCTCTACCTTTATCCTGCCAGCTTTCCAGAGCACCCCTTTGCCGTCAAGGTGAATACCAGAACCCTCCTAGTGGTGCGGGAGGCCTAGGCACACCCTGGCTCTGTACCACTCTGAGTCCCTTCTCCATATCGCTCAGCGTTTCTTTCTTTCTTTCGATGTCTTCAAACTTGCTGAGCTTGCCTTTGCCAGCCCTTGCTGGGCAGGCTTCTCTGCTGCTCTCCCGCCCACCCTGACCCTCACTACCTCACCTAATGGGCCCACCCACTGCTCACAGAAGCCCTCTCTGCCACGCCCTCAGGTGAGGTCCCTGTTATGTATTCCTGTGGCCCTGCACTTGCAGGACCACCATGTCTATAATGACCTGTCTAATGCTTGTCCCCTCCCCACAGTGTAAGCCCCGCATTGGGCCATGTCTGTGCCCCGAGCTGGCTCTGGCAGTCAGGTGGTCAGCAGATATCAGTGAGGACCTAGAACATGCCCACACAAGCAAAACAACCCTACAACTCAACTGACCGTCACACCACTTTCTTGTGTGGAGCGCCAATGGGGGCATTTCCCAATAACTCACTGACCAGTTCTGACCTTGCTAAGCAGATGAGCTCCACATTAGAGGTGCTCACCGACCTCTGCTGACCGCCTCTGGCATGATGCCATGCCTCCCCTGTGCCTGTTTGAGTGAGTGAAAGGCTGCAATGTCCTATGCATACCTTTTTCCAGTGACCATACAAGGAGAACTGTGGGTCCTGAGAAACCCAGCACTAGGGTACCTGTCCATACCCAAGGGGAGGGAGGGCCTGGAGCCAGGTGGCCGCACCTGTAGAGGTTGCCCTCCCACTGCTACCTGAAGCTCTGTGGGTGATGGTCCCTGGCCGGCTGTGGCGAACTCCAAATGACTACCTTGACAGAAAACAATCCCAAGCCTTGATAGGGAATGCCTTCTGGTCTCTGTCTCCCTTTCTAGGGAGGGCAGGTGTGGTGAGCAGACAGAAGTCCCCGAATCTATCAGCAGAAGGAATGTCCCCCCACCTTTCAGCCTAGTTCCCATGCAGCAAGCACTCCAGAAGCATGGTGTAGGAGCTTGGAATGGGTGGTCCTTTGAGCCTTCGAGGGATCTTGGAGAAATGAGGGAAATTACGCTTCTGCGTTTCATGTTCTCATTCTTCCAGGCACTTTATTGTTTAAACAAGAAAAAGAAATAGAATTTTGAACTTTTTAGAGGTTGCAGATATGCTGAGGTTCCCAGCACCTTTCACGATCCCTGGTGGAAGAGCGAAGTCAGCCACCTAGGGGTGGATCGGTAGGCTGCCCTAGCATGTGGAGCCCGTCAGCTAAGCAAGGTCAGCACTGGTCAGTGAGTTGACTGAATTGTATTAGTTTCTTGGGGCTGTACGAATACCACAAACTGGGTGGCTCCAAGCAACAGGGAGTCCTTCTGTCACAGTTCTGAAGGCCAGAAGTCTAAAAGCAAGGTGTTGACAGAACTGGTTGCTTCTGGAGGCTGAGGGAGAATCCGTCCCGTGCCTCTCTCCCAGCTTCTGGTGGCTGCCAACAATCCTTGGAGTTCCTTGGCATATAGACGCATCACCCCAATCAATGCCTCCGTCTTCACATGGCTTTCCTTCCCCTTTGGGTGTCTCTGTTCTTTTTTGTCTCTTTTGATGACACTTATAATTGGATTTAGGGCCCATTCTAATCAAGAGTAATGTCATCTTAGGATCCTTATATCTGCAAAGGCTCTTGTTCTAATAAGGTCACTTTCCCAGGTACCAGGGGGCCACAACTTGGACATATCTTTTTGGGGGACACAGTTCAACTCATTGTGCCAGCTAAACAGGAAGACAGGGTACTGCCCAGGGTATGACAGGCTAGGCAGGAGAGCTGGGTGTTAAGGGGATTTTGGGATGATGTTGCCCCCCATGGGCTGGATCGACAGGGTTCTCTGGGCAGGAATTATCCCAGTGATAACATTGCACAGCCGAGATCTCTCTGCTTGGCCCTTAACCACTTCCCTCAGCCAGTTTAGCATGTACCTGGGACTTAATGGAACCATCTCGAAGTAGACCGTTCCTCCAGTCATCTCTCACAACACACCCTTGAAGCTTTGAGCCCTTAGGGGTCTATGGTGGGAGACGCTGTGCTCTGTCATCCTGCAGCCTGCTCATCGACCCACAGCCAAAGGACTAAAGTTCTGTAGAGATTAATCTTCAGTTCCTGGGAATGCAGTTTTTAAGTGAGCTCATGCTTTGTAGCGTGATAGGCTTTGTCAGGATTTTCTCTGACAAACACAAGAATAATTTATTCAAGTTCTAACAATAAAAATGGGCCTCCGGACACTGCCTTCTTCCATGTTAAACACAGTTTGATGCTGATCAAGCCAGATGCAGGCCAAAAAGTGGTTTCCTGAGCAGCTCTACAGGAGGGCTCTTGAGAGCCGCCTTGGGACCCGCCTTGGGACCAGTGTCACTGGCCGCCAAGATCTCTCCAACGTGCTGAAAAAACGTGTTAGCAATTCAGGCAAGCAGACCCTGAGGCTCCTGGACAGATGCCTCTGGGCTCCAACCTGACTTTGCCTTTCTCTTCCCTGCCCAGGAGCCTCCTGTCAACTCACTCCTGTCTCCTCTTGTCTGTTTCCAGGACTCTTCCTCCTCGGCCGGATGTGTCCCAGTGGCTGAACAGCAGGGCACGGCTCCCAAAGTCCAGCTGCCCCTCAACGTGTGAGCTGCTATTTATATTTTGGGGTCCCATGCCTTCTCCCTCCTACCCCATGCTAGCATGTAAATGTGTGGTTTCTGTAGGGGTGTCTTGTTACTAGTTGGTCAGTGTAGTTATGTGCATCTAATAATAGTGTTAATGGGAAAGTGTGGAAAAGAAAAGTCTAGCATGTTTTTAAAAATGTCATTGTCCTTAGGACATTTATTATAAGCAAGGGGGATAATCAAAATATTTGATGTCACAGGCGCTGGCCAATCAGGAAAGGATGAGCCATAGCACAGAGATGACGCCATAGGCCCCTGAGGTCTGGGGTATGGGCCCCGGAGGTCGGGGGATGCCAGAGACGTGGGTGGTTGTGGGGGCTTCATGGTGGCTAGTTACCAACTGCTCTGGAAGTAGCTCAGTATCTTAACAACCATAACTGTCCCACTCGTGAGTAGCAGCTGCGTATCGTAGCCAAATATAACCGGATGAATCATTGCTACAAGTGAGATGCTTATCTTGTTTAGAAAATCTGCTCTTGTTAAATTACAGTTCTTAAAAAATACATGCAGTTTAAAAAGTCCCCACTTAAATTGTGCTCTGAAGAATTAGACTGCCTTCTACTGTTTTATTTGGCAATGAGTCAGTTACTTGAATGAACGTTCTAAGGCAGAGAATATGAATTTGGCAAACAATATGGCGAGGTAGAAAGTTCCATAGATCCGATGTGGGTCAGAGGGACATTTGACCTGTGTTGTAGAGTGAATGCATTTCAAGCAAAAAATGTCTTTTGAAAAAGCAACTTGCCAAGCTCCAAAATGTTTCCTAGAGGTAGCTTGAATATCCTGGTACACGCTCACCTCCCTCACTAAGCCCAGTGGAAACGTGCGCCTTTATGTGACTGTGACGGCAGATAGGAAATCCCTGAACATCCTCTCTTTACCTGCCCACTCTGTTGTGATTGGGTTATTATCATAACCAACTAAACAAAAGGAAGTAAAAACTTGCCTGTATTTAACCTACCTTCCTGGGGGCCACATGGATTAGTACACTATCTTCTAGATCAGCGATTCTCAACCTGTGGGTCACGGCCCCTTTGGGGGTCGAACGACCCTTTCACAGGGGTTGCCGGGTACTCATATGTGGGCGTATCTGCATGTGGGACTAGAGATGGATAGAGGAGTGGTGTCTCGGTTCCTAAGACCATCGAAATTATGTGTTTTCCGATGGTCTTAGGCAACCCCTGTGAAAGGTTGAGAACTGCTGTTCTAGATGTCTTTGGGCTAAAATTCAAGTTTTCACCAACACTGGACAGAAGATGCTGTCTTCTGACTGGGTCTCCTCGATAAGCGCCAGTGGCTTCTGCTCAAACCTGGGGGCCGGGGAGGTGCCTGAGGAGGATGGGGGTGATGGTCTTGCTCTTCCTGAAGAACTGGATGTAGGACCCTTTCCCTGAAGAAATACACCTGCATCCGCAGGAGACCCTGAGGCCCTAATTTCATTCCCCAAATGAGAGGCAGGACACAGCGAGCTTGAGCTCCTTGAGGACAAGGCTCAGGTGTTTCATTTTGAGGTCCCCCAAAATGAATGCCTGGCACACAGGCTCTGAATAAATGTTCACTTGCTTGGTGAGAGCCACAGCCTTCCCCCTCCTGTGTGCACAGGGCTCCTGGTGTCAGCCCGAAGCTCCCAGCTCTTATGCATCAGGTCAGCCACCCAAGAAGGCTGCTCTGTCTTTGAGACCCAGAAGGTAATACGGTTCCAAGAACATCACTCCCCAAGAGTTGTGAATGCATTCTGGAGGCCTCAGCCATGCACAGAGCTTCCATGTCACGCAGGCTTTTAAATTTGGAGCAGAGTGTGGAGGGACTTCTTTCTCTCCCCACCCCAACCCCATTCTGCCATGGGGGTCCCCATCCCTCTGCTCTCCCTTTTTCCGTTTCACCCCCTAGAGCATCATTGTCCCTGTTTGGGTTGAGATTTTCATTTGGGTAACAGAAGGGAGTCTTCCATGTCAGATAATGTCCTTCAAAGGATAGCAATTTTTTGTCAGGAATCTGTCCACTGATCACGGTGGTCATCAGAGCAGCAGTGACTCATGGCCAGCGTGACTGTGATTGACTGTTGTAAGTTAAATGTATGTTTTCCGTGGCTGTTTATACCAAGTAACAAGCACCATGGCTCCTAACATCACATATGTTACAGCACTGTGCCTGATCCTTCTGAGAATATGACCTTTGAAATCGCATTTTCCATTTTATTCCTAGGGAGGAAAAGATTAGATTGACCTCATCAGTTTATCAAGTAGGGGATTAGCTTGACCATCACCTATCTTCTATAGCTCCAAGAAGTTAGTGGTCGGTCCCATGCACACCAGTGACAGGCATCTAGGGTGGGAATATGGTTGCTCTTTATCTGACTTTTCTTCCCAGAACAGTACCAAATAGTCATGTAGTCTGAGATTGAGCACGAGAATTGTTGCCTTCACAAAAACAACTGCAGCAATAAGTGTGCTGTTGTGAGCCAGGGAGTCCTCAAATGGTCCTGGCCTTGGGACTCCAGGGAAAACCCGACCAGGCTAAGCTAAAGGTCAGTGATGGAGGAACTCCAGTGGGCCCACCTTCTGTAATTCTCATTAGCCCATGGGTTTGCCTTCTACAGGTCAAGTCATGTGCCTCGAAATGTGAGCCCACATGATTAAAAGGCCTGGTCTCTCAGGTCATCCATGGGTCACAGGATGTTCTTATCCCCTTCTTCCAGCATGTAAAGGTTTCCATGGGCACCAATTTCCTAAGGACTACAAAGGACCACCTTCTAAGGACTACAAAGCCCTCATGCCCTCACGTTCTGTGATGCTGGGAAAGGGACTGGTGACCTGACCATGCCCCACACAGAAAAGAAGTCTCTTCCACCACAAACCCATTAACAGAGAGGCTTGTTCTGCACTTCAGTCTGCGATAGACTGGATTAGTGTGAGCTCAGTACATCAGGACCCAATAATGTAAGTCCCTGCCAAGGCCAGGGGCAAGTGCCTAGAGGGGCGAGGCACCGTCCAGCCTTCTCTGACAGCACCTAGCCTCTAGGTCAGCACTTCCAAGGTCACAGGTACCTGCCCTCCAACAGTCTTGTTATGCTGATCACCTTCAGGGAGAGAGCAGAGCAAGGCCCCAGGCAGGTAGGGAGTGAGAGGAGGGCAAAAGCAGAAAAGTCACCTTGAGCAGAGCGGAGAGCCTGGCGGGCAAAGGATGGAGACTTGTAAAGGTGCCAGCGGGGCCACTGCAGTAGACAGAAAGCCAGGCTTGAGCCCTGCGGGTGGCAGCAGGTCCTTAGCAGCACCCGTGTTGTCTAAATTGGGTTTCCTGGAAGCAGACATGAGGCTGAGGCTTTTTGGGGACTGCCGTCAGGAGCCACGTCTGTGAGGAAGCGAGGCACTGAGCTGTCTGTGGTTGGAGGGAAGCCCAGCTGATCCTCGGGGAGCTCTGGAGCCAAGATGGCTCTTCGGTTTCCCCAACTGAAGAGAGACTCTGTGGGCTTCAGGCAGCGCTGGGAGGGGCACAGCCTGGTAAATCGGCACCCTGCAGGGAACATACCACCAGGGGCACCGCAGCCAGCCATCGGGAGCCTGCGGCCCACTCTGGGGGACCCTGCTGTGACCCTTGAGCAGGGTCCTGGGTCAAGCACCACCAGACTCAGCACAGAGGTGGGTCTTCAATCTCAGAACGCAACAGAAACCCCTGGAGAGCTGCTGAAACACAGATGGCATGGATTGACGCCAGTAACCCTGGGGTGAGGCCCCAGAATGTGCATCTCTAACAAGTTCCCAGGAGATGCTAATGCTGCTGGTCCAGGACTATCTGTTTGGGGTCACTAAACTGTAGCCCCCACAAGCAAGTTTCCCAGGAGCTGGCCTCACGGCCACACCACCCCCCACCCAGTTCCTTCCTTCCCTGGGCTCCTGACATTGTGTTCCACCTGGGAAAGCCTCGTCTGAACTAGAGCCTACTGCTGTTGGGTTTCTGGGGAATCAAGACCAACAGAAAGATGGGCAAGGGGCTGGCCGCTCCACAGCCACACAACAGTTCCCCAAACGCTCCTCCGTTCTCTCCCTCTGAGCTTCTGCACTCAGCCCCATCTCAGCACCTCATCGACTCACAGTCCCCCCAGCTCAGCTGTCAACTCCTTCAGAGGACCTGCCTGGCCTGCTGAGCATAGGTAGTGCCCCTCCCAGGCCATATGACATCCTGTGTAGATGCTGACAGGACACCTATACTGTCTGTCTCCCCCACCCCCAGAGCGAGTGATCCTGGGGCAGGCTCCTCCGCCACCTGGCTGCACCTGGCTGTCATTCGGTAGACATCTATTGAACTGAACAATGGATGCGTGAGCTCGTTTCGCTTATTGAGCTGGCGTGGCCCTGGCAACCAGAAGACCAAGCACAGAACTCTTCACAGGAGGAATGGAAAATAATCTGTTGCAAGAAACACAAGCAAGCCATAAAATAGAGGAGAAAGGGTGTGAAATTAACAAAGGCACTGAAATAAATACTTGAATTCTCTCCTTGATTAAAGCAGAAGGGACCTCTGTAGACAATTAACAGCAAACGAAGATCTTGTTATAGAAATGAGCAAGTTATACGAGTGAGTGACTGCAGTGCTCAGAGATATCCAACGGGCTGCTTGTAAAAATAGACAGTGCATGATGCCTAGCCGAGTAGCCACAGCTGCTGGGCGTGTCCAGTGTGCCCACGCCTGTGTGAGGGTGCGGGGGCAGATGTGGGGCCTGGTGTTCCACTCCTGACTCACACACGCAGGGCTGTTGCTGCCCAGAGGAGGAGGCTCCTTTTTCTAACTGGCACGAAAGGCCCATCTAGGCTGCAGGGCAGTGAACCAAATTCTCCTACTGTTATCTTAAATAAAGGGCCTTTAGTACCAGCCTTTGTGTGCAAATCCACAGAGGGGAATTCTGGGCCTGGAGGGGCAGCCCCTGTCTAATCTACACGTGTCACAGGGTCTGCCGGGAG